ATTTCACAACATAAACGTTTTATGACATTTAAGAAAAAAGATTTTTTTTTAATGTCCATGCGTTCAAAATTATACCTGCAGGCTCCAATATATTTACTTACAGTAATATTCAGATAAATGGCCCTTATCAACTTACGCCTCAATTCCAGGTAGTTTTTGTCCTAATTCTGGCTGATATCTAATAATTTGGTATAAATGGTTGAGTTTACCTGAACTGGCTGCTTTCCTGACATTAGATAAATTAAAAATGAGTTTGAGGTCAAAGTAATTCCAAATACTCAATTGTTAGCCTGGTTTTCCATTCCAAAAGCAGTTGTGCTTTTTTTTCTGTTTTAATGCAGCTATAAAAGCTTTTAGTATTTATAGGACTGCTCAAGTGTTACTGCACAATATAATAGTTTGAAACCAGGTACTGGTTTCAAACTCGGGTGCCCAATTCTTGTTTAAAATGAGCTGCAGTGGTAGAATAGTGTGGCATTGTTTCACCATTTCACCCCTAAAAACATAATTTACATCTGAAGATATGGGATTAGATGCTTCCAGACAATAAAAGGCTTAACGGGCATCAAGTGCGCTTTCCAGAAAGCAGAAAAAATACCTAAGCTTCAGGTTTCGTTCTTTTAAAGGTTCTGTAAAAGCGATTAAATCCAGTCATAAAACAGGAAGATTATACACAGATGCTGCAAAAGTTGGTACAGGAGAGGAAATCTTAACTTTGGCATGAGAAGAGAGAATAAGGCCTGCAGATGTGGAAGCATAAAAGCAAGTGGAAAGAATAAAAACCACAATTGATGCCCAAAATAGTACATAGTTGTCAAAAACCCCAATAAAGCTGTCAGCTGAAAAACCAGCAGGAGTCACAGTTTAATGACTTTCTAAATACCTTAAATGTATTTTTTTTTATCCTTTAATCAACTCGTCAGTAGGTATAACTACTCAGTATATCTGGCTCTGCCCTCAGGTGGGTTATAGAGCAGCAGGACATCAGAAAAACATGTTATTATGTATATATTGTGATTAAATTGGCTACAGTGAGCACACTTTTTCCTTTTTTTATTTTCTCCATCCAAATTAAGAAATCCTTTCAAGTAGGTTTTTTCCATCACAAAATAACAGCTAAAGTGGTGCCAATTAGCAAAAAACCCCAACAAAAACGCATTAAATCAAAGTACACATTTTGCTCAATCGATTTGCTAAAATACATTGATTATTTTCGGAATTATTTTAAATTTGGAGTTATTTTGTGTTTTAACTTGATGACTTTATTGAGAAATACGAGTCACTCAATGACTGTCAACGTCCTGAGCATCCTTCATTTCTGCAGTTTAGAGGTACATTTAATTAATGCCACTTAAGGTTAAATATTAATTACATTTCTACTTAATGTAGCGCTCAAAAAATAACCTCTGGTGTTCCACAAGGCTTGGTATTGGTGTCTTAGTTACTTGTAATTTATGTAAATATTCAGTTTAACAAGTTAAAGTATTGCTTTAACTGATGATACGAGTTAATTTTATTCAGAGCAGGATGTGTAAAAAAAAAACTGGTAACTAGAGAAAATGAAAAAAGAAAAGAAATTGATGCATCAGCTACAAAACACTAACCCTAAAAACAGCTTTGCAAAGACTCTACTGCTGCCGGACAAATGCTTGTGTCCTTTCTTTTTTTATCAGATCAGATCAGCACATTGTTCCACTTTCTCCGTTTCTCCAGCTGAATGATCAAATTTTCCTTCAGCCTGTAGCGAGTCATTAAAAGAGAAGCTCTTTTTCAAGTCTGTCTGCTGACAGCCGCTACATCCAGTGTCTCCCGCTACAAATCCACTGGCGAGGATGCAAGAAGAGACGGTTTCCCCTCCCCACTCTGATGCACAAAGCCGAGCCGCGGCGGAAAGAGAGAGCACAAAGAGCGAATTCACAGAGGAAGACGCGTCGAGGGGGTGTCGGAAAGAATAACGATGAAGGCAACAAGCAGGGGATGATGAGAGGAACAGACGAAAGACGAGATGATTATGAGAGGCGAGCCGCGGTTTGGGAGAAGCAACAGGCCAAACGAGGAAGAAGTTCATGTCAGTTTCCTGAATCAAAACAGCCCCCAAAGTTCTCCGTGGCAGTAAATCACGTCGCCGGGCTACATCCTGTCGGTTCTCGAATTCGCACCAGCCTGAAGGCCATAAACGGGCCAGCTGCCTTATTGGAAACAGATGCTGTGGCCTTTAGAGGGGTCAGAAATGGGACCGAGCTGGATGCTTTCGGTGTAATTTTTGGTTTCGAGTTATGGGGAAACAAGCATGATGTTTCCCGAAACAATTACGGGGAAAAGAAAATGCTGTTAACGCACCGTATGTTTGTTGTATGATCTGAATCAGGGGTGCAAAGTGGGCTCATAGTGGACCTCAGCATGATTATTTGCAGTGGTCAAAGCTTGTTAAAATGAAAAATACTCTGATTCAATAAAGTGTTTGTATTTTACTCAGCATGATTTTTACTTCAGTTTTATTTTCAAATTATTAAGTGACTTTTATTCTAGCTTTTCACTAAATTTGGCTGAGATTAGCTGCTAGCGCCACTTGTTCAAACTCGTAAACTCTCCATTTAATGTCCCTTTAGATTTTTCTAATTTAAAATCAAATATTGATTTCCAAGCTTCAACATTTCAAAAAGTAGAATTAGCGCTGAATTCTGATCCAAAATCAAACATGGCGGTGATAGTGTGATGTTTTGTTTTTTCTTTCACTCCATTAACATTGAACTCTTTGTCTTTCACATTTAAGAGAGCATGTTTTGACGTCAACGTCAACAATTTGGCGCTTTTTCATATTTAACAACAAATACAACAGGCTTGGATTTACAGCGACCAGAATGACTTTCAGCTCAGACTGTAAACATTTCTCTGTTTATTTTGCTCTATTTTGTGTTTTCATGATCAACAGTTGATCAAATGAATAACCTTCATAAGTATGACTCTGCGCTTGAAATCAAATATAAATGAGGTGAAAATTAGTTTGCTTATTTTACCTTTGCTGGATTTTTAAAAGTTGCATTTTTTTTGTTTAGAAATGTTGAATAAGCTTTGATACAATTTTTCTGCCCCCAATTTTCTAATGAACATTTTTAAGTAGATAATTCAGTTTAGCCAAGATGGCGTCCAGAGTCGTTGGTTTTTGGAAGATATGCTTTCTACCTGTCGGTTATGTTGCTTGTTACGAGCTCATGCAGTCTGTTTAATCCTCAGAGAGAAAGCTGATCACCCCCTCCTAATCCAATCAACATCAGCCCTCACGTGAATACCTGACATGGGGATGATGATGGAATGAATCTGAGCTGTTGGGTAATCTCAAATTCCACCTCGTAATCCAAGAAATTCCCCAAAACTAGAGAGATTTCTGTAAATATTCCCACTAGACCACATCACATTGTTGCAGCCGGTTCCACTTCCAGCTGGGGAATCGACTTCCATTTTTTCCTACATAAAAGCTTTTAACTGTGTGAAATTATTGGTTTATTTTTGCTTAATCTGGGTCTAGAACTGACTGAAAATGATGTTTTAAAGTGTAATATGGATTATAATTAGTATTCCTGAGACCATTTGCTCTGAATTTTTGCTAATTAATTATTTTTTTTATACACAGATAGTCCCTGTGACATCAGCTTTAATTCTGATTTTACATCAGTTATGGGATGTTAAGGAATTATTTCCTGACTTCATCAGTAAAATAACATTTCCATCTTCCTCCTCTGCTTTGTTCATACCAATCATTATATTGTTAGACTTCTAAGCAGTCTGTGGAGCCTATGGCTGCTATAATGTGAAATTTCCTTTTTTCTATATTGTACATTAATGCAGTAATATCCATATAATATCTGATTTAGAGGGAATGCACCTATTTCTGCATGCTAGTGGAGCCTAGAGTGTTTATTCCCAAGCTTATGAAGTGACACAAACACACTACAGGCTACATGCATTTTCTCTGTGGAACATGCAAAATAATCTCATCCGCAGCCCTCGCTTTGACCCCATTCTGAGATAACACTCAGAGATGAAGTGTGTCAATGTTGAAAGCGGATAACTGCATCTAAAAAAAATGTCAAAAAAATAAATAAATTGCACAAACACCACAGGAGTGAAGTGTTAAAACGGATCAAATTGGAAACGTTTGGTGCACAGCCAGTGAAGACTCCCGCAGCGTCCAACATGATGACCTGCATGAATATAAAGCTGAGTTAACTCACCCATGTCCACCGCTCCCGTGTAAACTTTCCCTGAGACAAAGTGTCTGAGATGCTGTCCCACAGGTTGTCGAGGCGCACGCAAACAACTGGACGTCCCGTTTAGGAATCAGGGGAGGAGGAGGAGGTGTGACGTCACCACCAGAGGCTGGAAATAGACCCAAACACGAAGGCAATTCCTGCTCCGGATTTACTCAAGTACAGTAAGCCATTAAATGCGAAAAAAAATTGTTTTCTTTAAGGGCTTACAATGTGCACATGCGCACTAAAATCTAGTTCAAGATATTGTACTAGATTTTATTTCTATTTGTAAATGTTAACTCCTCATTTTCAACAGCAGAGCATATTTCATATACTTAATGAAATATGTCCTATGCTCGCAAATGAACCAGGTTATTAGTCCAATTTTGCTGAACTTTTTTTCAGCAAAAATACTCAACACCGCTATTGTGGATGGGGAAAAAAAGAGGAGTACGTATCCTCAGAACTCGAATCATTTGAGAAATGTTATAAAAACAAGAAAATAGTGGATATTTCAGAGAAAAACTCAAGAAACTTTGTGATTAGAAAACACTGAAAAAAACTTTTCATAAATGAAAACTCATCATGTTAATGAAGGAATGGAAAATGGAATCTAGAAAAGAAAATCTTTACTTGATACTATTTCTCTTTTTTTTCCCCCCATGAATTCAGATCAGGAAAAAGTATTAATATAATACTAAGTTCAAAACCCTCTTCATCTAAAAAAGAAAGATAAGGGCAAAATTGTTTCAATATTTAGACATAAAGCACTTTATTATTCATTACATTTCTGTGAAAATACAAAATACACATCAGACACCTGGCTGCAAAGAGGCAGAGATGAAAATAACTGTTTCTCCCTTGTGAAGGTCACAGCTTCAGCGGGATGACAGGCCAGTACTTGGGCTGCTTCAGGTCACAGTTCCTGTCGAACGCCAGCTGCATGGCCGCCTCCATGGCCAGGATCTTGGCCGCGTCTTGGCCGTAGAGCTTCTTCATCTCGGCGGCCCGCCTCTCTCCCGGCCGCTCTGCAGGCGGCGCGGCGCTGCTCCGCCGGCAGACGGCGCGCAGGTCCTGGTCGGCCGGGACGTAGCCGTCCTGCTGCTCCGCCTCCAGTTCCTGCTGCCTCCCTGTAACGTATCATCATTACTTCATCCCACATCTAAAGGAGGTGGAAGTTGACATGTAAAGTGGACGTACTCAGCTCCTCTCTGTGTCTCTCCGTGTGGGCGAAGTACTGCCGCAGCTCCTCGCTGATCTCCATATTGCTGACGTCACACTCGATGTCGCTGTCCGAGCTGCTTTCATCTTCCGCGTCGTCGTTGCTGCTGCTGCGGTCGCTCCCGCTGGCCTCCCAGTCACGGTAGCGGCGCTGCCGTGCCGGGCCGTAAGCGGCCTCCCAGGCCTTCCTGTAGGCTCCCCGGTGCCTCCGGCGCCAGGCCATGGCCTGCTGGTAGTGCTGCCAGTAGCGGCTGTAGACGGGGTTGGAGAACCAGGACATCACAGTGCTGACGTCCTCCTGCAGGGAAGCAAAACTTCTTATTTCTCCATGTACAACTCAATTATTCAACAACTCAATTAGATTTAGTCAGGAGCCCCGCTACAGCTTTTTGTAGACTGCAACTGGTTTCACGTTTTGGTTGGACATGAGTGGAGTGTCTTGCAATAATCCAGATGAGACATATTAATATGGAGCAGATGGATTAAAAACACTAGTCCTGAAAGAGATCCCTGTGGAACACCAAACTGGATGGGATTCTGTCTGGTTTAATCCTAGATTGAGATAATTATTTTTCATAATTGAAAAATAATGCACTTAAAATACATGCAGCATTCAAACAAAATTTTGTAAACATCTGGTTTTGAAAACTGTACAAGAAAATCAGACTTTCTGCTAAAAACAAAAAAAGTAAATGTGTGTGTACAGAAGCATTTGTATTGCAAACTTGCTGAAAAATCATTTTTTTCTCTCCACACTCTGGAGTGTTATGGTTTATACTTGAGCCTGAATGTAATTAGCACAGATTCTCCTCCATAAACTGTATCTCTTCTTCTATTGTCCTAAATGTTGCTTTTTATATTTCTGTAATGCTTTTAGTCTGCAGACTTGAGTATATTAATCCAGCTGTGTGTTGTTTATGCTCTCATATTTTCTAAATGCTGCGTTTTGCAGGAGGAAAGCTGCAGAAACCAGAAGAGACTAAACAGGAAGCCGTAAAGTACAACCAGGTGTCGGTAATTGAGGCTGATTTAGCTTCCCTACCATGTCTGACTCCAGTCCCTTCAGCTCTTCTTCTGTGTGAACAGATACAATACTGTAAGTAAATGCAACACTTTCTTGTGACGCTACTTCCTGTTCCTGTGCGTCAGAGCGATAACAAGACGTCAGTACGTCTTCATATCTTAAACATGTTCAATAAGCACAATATTTTCAGTCTCTAGTTAACTCTAATGTTTACCTCTCACTGTTAGCGGCTCATGCTGCCGCCACATTGAAAATTTCCCAGCAGCCTTTGAGCGAAAGGAAGGCAACTCCCGGTTACCTGGCGCCCCCTTGCGGACATCCTGCGAAGGTGTTTAAAAGTAATAAATTGTGCAATAGCAGATATTTAGGCCTGCATAATGTGTTTATTATTATAAAGACACTGGTATAATAAATAATTTAGGTTACCAAAACGTTCTTATTCATATGCTTCAATAGAAATTTTATTTAAAAGCTCCTAAAATAAAACTTAGATTTCAAGATTGTAGTTTAAAAATGAAAATTAAGTAAAAAGAATTGACCTCCCAATAGATTCCTTTCTCTTTCTTAACACTGAGATGTTTCAGATCATTAATCACATTTTAATCACAGAGAAAACCTAAATGATTATTTAATTTATTGAAGGAAAAAGTAACTTTAAACCTAATAACTTTAGCAACATTGTTTTCAAGTGTTAAACTCCTTGTAACAACAGCTTTCACATAGTATAAAGTTACTCTGGATTACGTATTTCTCGACTAAATATAATCATCTGAAACTTTTGCAGTTAATCAGTTTATCTTTAAACCTCTGATGTAGATGCGGATGCTAAATTTGTCTCACAGGCACATAGCTAATTAAATCAAGTAATTTAAGATAAATATAGGGCAAAACAAAGTGAAATGTTCTTTTAAACATTTGGATTTTGACGAGCGTCTTAATATTTCGCTAACAGCACACAAACAGAGCAGCTTTGCTCAGCGTCTAAGTGCCATAAGACTCGTTGTACTGTATATGTGGGTCATACTTTGGCCTCAGGCTTCAAAGCTTTCAGAGGAAGTGGAGAGAGCCTTGCGTCTTCTCTGAACATGTTTTCTCCCTTCACGTAGGAATATGTGTGTGTGCCGACGCTATAAAAAGGAAAAGCAGGGTTTTGTTTTGTTTTGATGTTTATTTTACTGCTTGTAGCATGAATAACAAATGCGCTCAAATCCTTTTGCTGCTGTATACACCTAGTCTTGTACATTATATATTCAAAGTTTAGCTCTAAACAAGTTTTCTATTGCTTTAATCTTCCCAATAACTCTGTTTGATTCTTTGTTTTATTCTGATACAATTCGTAAAGTAGTGCCAGCCAGGTACGACTGTTCTTATCTAGCTTTACTAGTACAGAGTAGAACAGATTGAAAGCCGCAGTGCCCAAACCAAAGATGACAACAGCAGATATTATAAAGTATTTGCTTTTCAATAATACACATCTGATTGCTTACCACCAGTGTCTTTTCATTCCTCGCTCTGAATCTGTTTCATAATTCTCCTGTGTTAGCGTGTGTAGCTCCACACAGCTGGAAAAGATTGTATATTATTGTGTGCCATCCATGTTTTTCCTATAAGAGAAGCGTGGGAACCCCAAACCTATTCTGTTCACACTTCTGCACTGTAGTGTGAAACCACAACCTTCCTAGCTCACCACCTTGACCACCTTGAGCATCATCACCAGTCAGAGCTACGATACGAACAGCGTTGGCAGTCTCTGTGCTGCTTCAGGGTCCCACATCCCATACATCTATGACTGTGTCTGTTTTCATGAATCACTCCGTGTCTAAATCTCGCTTCTAATCCAGCTGAGGAACATACAAAAAAATTGTAATATTTCTTTTTCCTTTTACGTAAAATCCCCAAACTCCATGAATGCTTCCTGCATTTAGATCATTGTCAATCATTTTCATGTGACATAAACACAAGTAATTGTGGGCAGCATGTATAGGATGGTGTCAAACTTGCAGATGACTCGTGCAACACATCACCCACCAGCAATTGGAGAAACAACGTGTCAACTTCACAAAGTGACAAATGCTCAGGAGACAGCAGTCAGTCCACTAACTGAGAGATAAAGTACAGAACAAGTCCCTGATGTAATAAGCTCTGAGTTAAATCATGCTGGTTTTAGTTCCAATTTTAATGACGTTGATGGAACGTTTCCCTTTCTTGGTTGGGTGTTTAATGTTTATTTTAAGCCTGAGCTTCTGTAAAAGAGTAACTTTGTCACTCAACCTCAGGAAACATACCTGAAGGCGTTCATCAGGGATAACTCCTTGCTCCTCTTTAGTTCCCCTTTTTATAGTCCATTTTATTCAGAAAATGATCTAAAATAGTACAGAAAACAGTTTTCAGATGATTAATTCATTTACAAAGGAATAAAAACTGTTGAGATACACCATACCATGTGTGGAAAAAGTAATCGTTTACTACCTGTGTTTATTTGTATATTTACAGGCCACACTGGCTGATCCAAGAATGAAAACATCTAAAGACATTGAAGAACAAATAAAAAATAATCAGCCAGGAAAGTATTATAAATCTATTTACAAGGCTTTGAGATTCGAGGAAAGTAGAGGAAACGCGATTGTCCTCAAAAAATTGCAATTTTCTTCCTTTTTCATTCTAAAAACCTTCAAATTTGGCCAAATGAACTATTACACAAAAAAGAGCAGCAACTCTAATTATAGTCGCTGAAAGTAACTTAGAAATGAGCAGTTTTGTTTTACTTCCTATTCAGTGGCAGTCAAAATTAGCTTGTATGAATTCACCTTCGTCCTCCTTGCATTTGCTCTGAAGAGTCGTCTGATAGCAGAAGTATTGCGCAGATCTGTTGGCCATGATAGATCAGGACAAACTGTGGCTTGTGGTGATGCTGCCTCTTTGTTTTTGTTTGGAACCTGAAGGTACAGGAAAGGAGCTTTTACATGTAACCTTTACCCAAAAGTCTCTTTTCTTCATATTATACCTGATTTTCTACTTATTTTAACTCTTCATTATTTTACATTGTAGTGGTCAAGTTGTTGTGTTGCATTTATGCTATTAATTCAAATTTTATGTTCATCATCAATCTTCTCATTAATAGGGGCAATAATTAGGACATTGTGCAAACATGACATGCAAAAAATGTATTTCTACCCTCCACTTGATGAAGTTAATGATGATCCTCTTGTACTTTTCTTTGCTCTGATGCATCTCTAGCAGATGACGGCAGCTTTTCTCTGCTCAGAGTGACCAGTTGGATGGTGGCGGTCAGCGCTGCGGCTGGATTTACCATCGTCGCCGCAGTGACGCTTGGACTCACCCTGAGAAAAACACGCTGCAGGTGATCGTCTTTGTCTCCTCCAGCAAAACCTTTATTGTGTTTAAATCTGCAAAACTGTAAGATGTAAAAGAAATAGTGGACCGCAAGTTGTTTTTGACTCATCTGAAGTGAAAGTCAACATACACAATTGATAATATCTAGTCAATGGGCATAGCAGATAAAGTGAGATACTTTAAAATGTTATTTAAGGGTGCAATAAATTTTATGTGGAGTCAAGAATCTTTGTGACCTTGATGCTGATTTTTAACTCTTTCTTTTTGTTTCCAGATGCTGCAAAAAGTCTGAAAGTCCTGAATTAGATGTAAGTGAATCTACTTCTTTAAACTCTACATTTACTCCGAGACGCTTCCCTTATTGTGAAGATGCACCGAAGAGTTTCTTTTCTGTTTTCATATGTAGAGCGACATCAGAAAGCTGCGTTTCTGTTGAGATCCATTACATTTCTGAACAAATATCTAATTTTTGGAAGCTTTACATAACGGTGTGTTAAGGATATTCACACATTTTGAGCTTTTTCATGTTTTATCTTGCAAGAACCAAAATGTTTCATGTATTGTGTTGGATATGTTTGTCGTAGACCAACACAAAGTGGTGCCTTATTGTACTGGGGAAGAAGAATACAGCACAGCTCTTCCAGTCTTTAACATCTTAACTAACAATTATGCAACATTTCCCATGGTTTGTTGCATTAAAATGCATTTTTTGGTTTTAAGTGTGAAAAATTAAAAAGAGAAGTTGATACTTTGCTGCTCGTCTGCCACCGGAAGAATCAACGCAAAACGTCTCAATTTAAATTTGTGACGTTTTCACACTGTGGATGAGGTGCAAGACATGATACTGAAAAACACTGAACAGCTCAACGTGTGTTGAAGCTGAACTTGAACAGCTTATGCTGATTGGAAAAGCTGTAAACTTGCCGTAAATGGTTGTTAGTCCCCTGTTGTCGATGTTTGAGGCCCAACCAAGTTTCAGGAGGTCAGTGATGGCAGACAGGATGAGGGCGTAGAGTGACCTAAAAAAAACCCAGGTTTCAGTTTGACTGCGGCTTCCTGATCACACTTACAGTGCGTCGAGCGTCTCTCTGCCCAACCTTAGGATGCAGCTCGCCGCTTTATGTTTTCAAAAGACGTTACTTAGCTGGAGCTTTTGTTATCTTCAGCAGGGTAAAAATGAAGGGGATTACACCAGCCTTCAGCAGCCTGTGGAAGATTTCTACCAGGCTGCATCAATGGTGAACCATCCGCATGTCGGCGCTCTGGGGAGGAAAAGCAAAAAGGCCTTTTTAGAAACTGCAGAAGAAACACAGGACATCTATGAAAATCTGTAAAGCAAAATCAATTTTCTGTGATACAATAAAAAAATCTGCTAATCTGGGAACATCTACCTGAGGATTTTACCTTTACAAATATTTAGAAATGACAATATTTAGTTTTTATTATCAATAAAGTTTAAATTTCTAGAGTGGTTTGTGATTTGAGCCATATGGGCGGTTTCCCAGGGCAGCCGTAGAAAGAGGGCGCACAAGCACCACATTAATTCATAACCAACTTTTCTGTTTTATTTGTGCTGCAAATAGTTTAGCATTTGTAGCTGCTTTTAGCAAGACCACATTTTAATGTACAGTAGAAAATTTAGATCATTTTCTATATTTTAGATTGTTTGGTACCAGGAGCTCAATACATGAAGCACAACTGACTAAAAACACACCATAAATAACATAATAACTTATTATACTTTGTTTTAAAGTGTAGTTAGTCCAACTATTTTCTCTTTTGTCAATCTGAGGTTTAGCTATAAACGACACTGAGTTTCGAGTCGGACAGGAATCCTGATCTATGTATCCCTCGTTCTTTAGAACTACTTTTAAAATAAATTACATTTTTTGATACTTATTTCTGTGCGATTGGATGCTTTTATAACTTTGAAGTGAAAGTTGAACTAAAGGTGCTGGCGGCTTCCTTTTAAAGGGGCGTTTGCAGCTCGTATCTTCATAGGGTTAAAGAATCTGCGGTTTAGCTGCTGAGGTAAACTGCAGAGCGCCATGTAAACCATTCACAGTAAACAAGGAGCAGCAGAAGCATTGCTGCTATTATTGAAGTCTTGACCACCATGGGTAGATTTAATCTGTCCTTTATTCTCCTGCTGCCGTTCACGTTTTGCTCCTACGACAAAGGTATGTACCAGAACTGCTTCTATACAACGTTTTGTTTTCATTTCTCTTGAATACTCTTTCTGTGAATTACATACAATATTTGCAAACTTGAGTTTAATAGTTGTTTTTTGCCACTTTTATGTCTGCAGATTATCGGGAACCGGTGGTGAAAACCATTGGGAAAGAAGCAGATTGGACTCCAGTTTGCAGCAATTCCACCCAGAAACCAATCGTATTTATGGCCTGTAGGATCAGACCAGTGAGGAGCAGAGAAGAAGAGTGTCATCTAGTGTACCGCCTGCAGACAGGCTTTGTGCAGGGATGTGACTCCAGGTTTTCACTCATGTTAATAAATCAGACAATTTTTCTTTATCTGAACAATTTAACAGCAGAAAATAGTGGAAACTACAGCTGTCTGTGCTCAGGCCATGGTGGAACAATTATTCTACAGCTCAACATCACTGTGGAAGGTAAGGAAGAGATTTAGTTTGTTTAAAAACATCAATAAGCTTTTGTCACAATGAAAATAATAAAATAGATTCAGAGCAAAAGTTTATATTCTTGTTAAAGTGTTCATCTTTCTTGAACTATTTCAGGATGAGAAGCACAGCTTCAAATGTCAATTTGATTTGGGATTTAAGTGAAAGTCTCTCCAATTTGAATAGTGGAAATGCATAAATTGGAAGTGCACCCTATTTTAGCCCAGACTGCCCATCATCCTGAACTTAACATGCCAGGTGAATATGATAGCAGCAGCATAACGCTGTTCTTTCTTGGACATAAAATTATCCCAGTATAAAATCTGAAAGAAGCTGTAGAAGTTTTCAGTCTAGGGTTGGTGCTTCACACTTTAACAAAACATCAATCCAAGTCAAACAAACAAAAAGAAAACAAAACAATAAAGTTGTTCAAAGCGTAGTGATGTTGTAAAATGGTCCAGTCAAAGTCTCTGTCCCATCGGATTGAGCTTGGGCTATTTTGCAAAGACAAACAGAATTTAAAATTTCAGACTCCAGATGCAGAAGACCAGTAGAAACACAAGAACGTGGTTCAACAAGTTTTAACTGGGAGGCGCTGAAACAAATCCAGCCGCTTTCCTTTTAAAAAGTTTTTAAAACCATGTCGTCTTTTTCTTGCGCTTACTGATAATGTTCTTGTTTATCACCTAAGATCCCAATAAAGTGCATTGCTGTGCTTCAAATGTGTCAAAGTAATGAAAATGTTAAAAGGATAGAAATGGTAGATGTTGATCTTTGACAATTTTTTTTTTTTTTTTTTTAGATGAGAAAGTCACCATCTCTCCTTCAGAAACGACTTTCTCTACAACTTTAATTTCTTTATTTGGAGTTTGTGGATTGATCATCATCATTCTGTTGGGAGTCATTTCTGGATGTATCTGCTGGAACAAATGCCACAGGTAGGAGATGAATGTGGTTTTTTCTCAAAGGTTCATCCATCATGTTTGTATTAATGACTACTTTACATTGAATGATCGTTTATAAGGACATCAGTTCCCCTATTTTTCAGCTTCTCTCCTCCAAGATAATAGCAAAAAGAAACTTGTGAGCCCGACTGTTAACTGAGGAGATGAGCAGTACTGGAAATGTCCAGTTCTTGCTATAGTTCTGACTTAACAACAACCTTCTCCGGATATTTTAATGGTTTTGGTCCAAACCTTTGGACACAATTTTCTGCATCAGCATCAATGACTCCAGTGCTGCTCTCCTAGTGAGGTGAGTTCATCCTGTCTACATGAAACCTTCAAAGTGTAATCATACTGTCATAACTTGCCGTTTTCATTAAGGCGTCCCGAAGCAATCAGGTAGAGCAGGCGCCTCATAAACATTGGATATGGTCACTGAAACAGCTGTTTGGGTTTTATTCCCACCTTGAGACCTTTGCTGCAAATTTGACCCCTTCTCTCTCTGCCTGGTGACAAAGTGCCATAAAAATAATTTCAAAAACATATTTCCTTTCATTCTTATGCAAATAACATCAGGTTCATTTTCCACTAGAAGTGCATTTCTGAGCACTTTGTCCTGCTGTCCAGTAGATTTGGTGTTTCTATGATATTTTTGACATGGAAAAAATGTAGCTGATTCAAGACAGCTTGTAATATTAATATGTACATTTGTTGTTGTTTGTTTGCAGAACAAAATTGAAAATCTTGACTTTGAATGAACTGACAAGCACAGCATTGTACCAGGTAATCATTAAATGAACTGTAATGTTTGTCTTCTTTCAGGCTTGGTGTCACAATAGGTTTTCCTTTTTCATTTGTCGTTAACAGGAAGCTGCGCTGACTGAGCCGTACCTTAAACAGGAAGTAATGAGGCTTTATTCCGAAGTCAAAGTGACCTGTGTTAAAAGTTTAAATTACTGAAAGATTACATACAGCCTGAGAGGATTTCTTTTTCTGCATGTCATCAGTGTTTTCTCTGGGTTTAAAAAGTACAAAAATATGTTTTTCTTTTCATTTTTATTCACCAATTAGCAATTAGTAATCCAATCTGACTTAAGCAGACTGAAAAAAGTTCTTTTCAAGTAAATGTTGCTACTAGTTAGCAAGACTAAACTGACTCATTTATTTTTGGAAAACTGATAATATCTTGATTTATGCAACATGCACCCACTTATGGTATAAAACTTTTTTTATGCAACTTAAAGAAAAATCACAGATTTTTCTTGCCGTTTTTCTTTTGTTTGACCACTTCTTCAACTTCGCCACAAGGGCAGCTATGGAAAATGTTATGCACTTCCTTTTTCAGTGGGTTTAGAACTCGATCTTCCTTTTGTGAGAACAGACACTTTGTCTGGCTCTGAGGTTTTGGCTGCTGTTGCTGAAGAAGAGTGTGAAGGGGCACAAGCCTGCTCTGTACTGCTCAGTTCGGTTCGGTTCGGTTGGTCGCTGTTGCAGAGGATACATGGATGTGTTGGTTTGGCTCTGCTTTTGTTAAAGGTGAGACGATGTTTCATCATTATTGTTGTTTGTCTTAACCTGTCTCTGCAGGAAGTTGGTTTAATAGTCATTTTTAATTGTATTGTGAAGGTAAATGTGCTTCTCGTCTTCGCTTACAGGAACGAGCTACAGCGTCTTTGTGGTTCGTCGTAGGAAGTTTAATCAGTATGTGGAGATGCACGTTGTGGTTTGTTTTACTTCTGCGGCTGACGCGCTGCTCCTACGACAAAGGTAAAGCAAACATGCAAAAACTATACCCTGAATTAAGTAATTGATCTTTATTTCTTAAGTTCAACAGAACCCAATAATGTATTATTTTGCTCATTTTCAATCGATACATGTTAAAAACAAAAATAAATACTGTTTAATAGCTGCTCTTTGCCACTTTTATGACTGCAGAGTATCGGGAACCGGTGGCGAAAAGCATTGGGAAAGAAGCAGATTTGACTCCAGTTTGCAGCAATTCCACCCGAAACCAATCGTATTTATGGCTCTGTAAGATCAACCAGTGAGAGCAGAGAAGAAGAGTGTCGTGTATTGTACCGCCTGCAGAAAGGCTTTGAGCAGGGATGTGACTCCAGGTTTTCACTCATGTTAATAAATCAGACAGTTTTTCTTTATCTGAACAATTTAACAGCAGAAAATAGTGGAAACTACAGCTGAGTGCTCAGACCGTGGTGGAAATTATTCTACGCTCAACATCACTGTGGAAGGTAAGGAAGAGATTTAGTTTGTTTAAAAACATCAATAAGTTTTTGTCACAATGAAAATAATAAAATAGATTCAGAGAAAAGTTTATATTCTTGTTAAAGTGTTCATCTTTCTTGAACTATTTCAGGATGAGAAGCACAGCTTCAAATGTTAATTTGATTTGGGATTTTAAGTGAAAACCTCTCCAATTTGAATAGTGGAAATGTGTAAATTGGAAGTGCACCCTATTTTATCCCAAACTGCCCATCATCCTGAGCTTAACATCGCCAAGGTGAATATGATAGCAGCAGCATAACGCTGTTCTTTCTTGGACGTAAATACAAAACTATCCCAGTATAAAATCTGAAAGAAGCTCAAAAGCTTTTAACAAAACATCATAGTAAAAGTAAACAATAAGTTGTTAAGCGTAGGTAAAATGTCCAGTCAAAGTCTCTGTCCCATCGGACCGAGCTTGGGCTATTTTGCAAAGACAAACAGATTTAAAATTTCAGACTCCAGATGCAGAAGACCAGTAGAAAACACAAGAAGTGGTTCAACAAGTTTTAACTGGGAGGCTCTGAAACAAATCCAGCCGCTTTCCTTTGAAAAAGTTTTTAAAACCATGTCGACTTTTTCTTGTGCTACTGATAATGTACTTGTTTATCACCTAAGATCCCAATAAAGTGCATTGCTGTGCTTCAAATGTGTCAAAGTAATGAAAATGTTAAAAGGATAGAAATGGTAGATGTTGACATCTTTGACAATTTTTTTTTTTTTTTTTTTAGATGAGAAAGTCACCATCTCTCCTTCAGAAACGACTTTCTCTACAACTTTAATTTTTATTTGGAGTTTGTGGATTGATCATCATCATTCTTGGGAGTCATTACTGGATGCATCTGCTGGAACAAATGCCACAGGTAGGAGATGAATGTGGTTTTTCTCAAAGGTTCATCCATCATGTTTGTATTAATGACTACTTTACATTTTGAAATGATAGTTTATAAGGACATCAGTTCCCCTATTTTTCAGCTTCTCTCCTCCAAGATAATAGCAAAAAGAAACTTGTGAGCCCGACTGTTAACTGAGGAGATGAGCAGTACTGGAAATGTCCAGTTCTTGCTATAGTTCTGACTTAACAACAACCTTCTCCGGATATTTTAATGGTTTTGGTCCAAACCTTTGGACACAATTTTCTGCATCAGCATCAATGACTCCAGTGCTGCTCTCCTAGTGAGGTCGAGTTCATCCTGTCTACATGAAACATTCAAAGTGTAATCCATACTGTCATAACTTTGCCGTTTTCATTAAGGCGTCCTGAAGCAATCAGGTAGAGCAGGCGCCTCATAAACATTGGATATGGTCACTGAAACAGCTGTTTTGGGTTTGATTCCCAACCTTGAGACCTTTGCTGCAAATCTTCCCCCTTTTCTCTCTGCCTGGTGACAAAGTGCTATAAAAATAATTTCAAAAACATATTTCCTTTCATCCTTATACAGGTAACATCAAATTCATTTACCATTTTCTTTTACTTAATTTTGTGGTTAAAATTAGAAGATATGTGGCCTTGAATTGTACGACTTAAGTCATATCGTTTGACCAAACAACACCTGCAGCATCCCTGGTTTCGCTTTATTTTTCTAATCTAGTTTAAGTAAATCATTATTCCATTATTAAACTTAATAGCTGGATAACCAGCGTGGAGAAAGTCCTGCTTTTTTTCCAGTTGTAAAGCTTTTAGAAACAGATCTTGAAATGTTAGTCTGTAGTTTTTGATCTCTGTAAGGGAAAACCACAAAGCTCTGTTCTCAAAACATTTTATAATGATTGTTGTCTCTTAGTGATATTATGTATAAACATAATATTCCCTCTAAAATTTATGAAGATGACGTCCAAGTTTATTATCCAGTCAGACACATGATTATCTGTCCAACCTTTTCTTGACTTCCTGACGAACAGAAATTCAAATACTAAATTTAAGTTTTCCTTTTAAGCATCCTGAATATTTATTTTAAGTCTTTCTAGAATTATGCACCGTTTAATTCGCTGAAGTCATGAGATCAGTTTCTTTAACCTGCTCAAAATCTGCGACTCGAACTCAAAGGTGAAACTTTTTTCTGCTCCAGGTTCAAAACTGAGAAAGACTTTGCTAATTTATTTACTCTTCAAAAACACAGTTACTATTGACTTTCTACCCAATTTTTTTGTAGCCTATCATAAGTTATATTGTTGATGAGCTTTCATGCCGACAGCTGCATTACTATGATTACACTAACTGTCTCTCATTGGTTTGATCTCTATCTGGGTGACCTCGTTTCATAAATTTAAGTTGTGCAAAATAGTAAGGCATCATTTACCCGTTTATTGTTTTGATCTATCTGCTCATAAAGCAGATGAAGTCAAACTGATGTTTGCAGTTTTATGCAGTGCACGGGACGGCAGGATATTCACATTTGACACCTGGCACACTTCTCGATGATGGCAATCAGACACACTTTACCCTCGTAAGCAGGCGTCCTGCTGCAGCAGCATGTCTGGTAATGAGGGGAAAGTTTGAACAAACCGCAGAACCAAGAACACACACACAAAAAAAATGCCCAACATGTTCATCTGCGTGCAGAATACAGAAGATTCATCAACGTTTATTAGTATCTTCAAACACATCCACACTTGTACGGAAGTTAATATTCAGACTGGAAATTGACAAATGTACAATTTGAGATGAATAACTTCTGTTTGTCGTTTAGAAGAAGAAGAAGACGTGAAGTGACCATAACGCCTCATCCAAACACGGTGCATTACATTGTAAATTATTGAATCCAATGCAGTTTTTTCATTTCTTATTTCAGTTTGGGATATTCTTTTGTTTATGATTTGGTTTGCTCTCTTGCAGGAAGTGCAGGACATTGAGCCGTACAGCGTCTACAGAGAGAACGAACTTTATTTAACGTCTGTAATTCACACCAGCCTGTCTACAAATAATCTGATTGTGATTGGGATGGATAATCCAGCTTCAGGGAGACCTTTATGAACATTTGATGTTTTAAAACATGTTTTCTGTGGAGCACTGTAACTGTCTATATTTCAACATGTGTATTTTGTTAAAAACTCATTTTCTAAACATCATTAAGTGTTTTTCCATGTCAAAGTAAAAAGAAGACCACATTTAAAACAAAAACCATGTTCTCTTTCTCCCCCGCAGTCTTCTCGACTTCGCCTGCTTTAATGTAATGCTTGAGGGGTGAGTTTGGGTGTTTCGGGTCGTTTGAACGTCGACCACTCCCTCACTCGCCCACTCATGCAGCAGCAGGTCGAACCGAAGGTTTAAAGCTGACCAACAAATTCTTGACAAGTTCTTTCTTCCTGTACGAACTTCCTGTTTTCACCCGCAGTGGCCGCATGGCCTGCTGGTGTGAAACTGGAGGTGTAACCTTTCCTCACTGCAGAGTGCAGATTTTTACACAAAGGTTACTCTGCAAACAACACCACACTGACTTTAGTGCACAAACGTGTTAACTTCTTCTAACTAACTTCACTCCCCTGTTATTTATTTATATTGGTTGCAATAAACTGAAACTGTAAGGATGTAAATATGTAGAGAAAAATAGAATTATCTTAAAATTAGTATTTTTGTTTTACTGTATGCTCTAATATCTGTGCATTGATTGCATTAAGTTTTTTTCTTTTCTTTTAAATCTCACTCAAACATGGGTTTAGAAGATTCTTCTAATATTGATCTACTTCAAAGTTTGTTCTATCATTTGTAAGCTCGTGATAATTTATCTGTTTTTGTTGTATTTACGAGAAACGAGGATTTGATTCTTGGATATTGTTTAAAAAAAGCCAGAGTTGAAGCTAGAGACTTTAGAGCATGAGTCCAAGTCAAGAATAAAGTCTGTGAAACTAGAATCTATCTTTTAGAATTTGGGGGAAACTAAATCATTTGAGTAAATGATTCATGATTAATAAATAATGTTTCTGGAGAGCATGTGATCTCAAAAGGAGCAATAGGTGAGTTTGTTTAAAGTCGACCATCTTGTAGCGTTTACAGTAAGCAGACCACAGTTCGAACTGAGATGTGCATATGTTATTCTGTCAAAGGCCGTCATGCTGTGATGCAACAATTAGCTTGAGAAGATATGAAGAGTAACTTAAACATGAAACTTAAGTTTCAACCAAGAAAAATTGTAACATTTCCAGTTTTGTGTATAACCAGCAGTGTCATCTGCATACATGTTGAATAAGTAGAAAATTAACAAAAGGTGTAAAGACAACTGGTCCAAAGAAAAGGCCTTGAGGGACCCCTAGAGGCCAAGAGAGAGTATAAAAAATAGTTTTGTGAATTGGTTGGAAATGCTATTATATTTTTATTAATTGCACCTGTAAGATTAATGGTAGAACACATTTAAATGTATTTGAATTATTTTGTTTTGAAATACCTGAAACTGTCAATAATTGAACCTGATTTTCATGTTTTTTATTATTGTGCAGTGAGAAGAAACTTAAAGTATCTTAACCAATAACTTTCTTTTGACAATTTAGCTGTTGATCATTTCAATTGGGTTCAAAATGCTTTATTGATCCCAAAGGGGAAATTAAATTGATGTTTAGTAGAAAACAATTTGGTGTCAAATTTAGTGGAACTCAAAAACAAAGGAGCCATAGAGCTGTAGTTGCATTTCCGTTTCTGTTTCTTTGACAGAGAATCTGTGGTTTAATGCTGACAGCCAGACATACAAAAGAAAACCTCACTGTTGCTTGGACATCATGATCTCTGTGGAAATATTTAAGCTGCATTTTTTGCTACTTATTCCATCATCTCTCTCATTTTTGGATGGTGAAGGTAACGTAAAGATCTTTTTGACATGTCAATGTAAATGCCACATAAACTAGTCAGAAGTTTGGACTTAATTTGATTTTTCTTAATTTTCAAACAACTTTCAGAGATTTTGTAGTCATTGATGGCAGCTTTGCTCATTCTTGGTCTCTTATTAAGCTTCTTGAGTTGATAACCTGATTAACTCAGGGTGATTAACTAAAATGAAATTGTGGAGACTTGTTTTTGAAAGCCTCGTCCTCTTAATTTGTTGTGTTCAGAGGTCTAATCGGTATCTTTATGGATCGTCAAATCAATGTGTATTTCATATTTTTATTACAAAGTCCCACATTTGTTTCTTAAAGGTCTAAATGTTTGCAGTATAAAAAATGTATAAATTAGGAAATTAAGCAGTGTATAAGTGTAAACTTCTGACTTTCTTTATTCTGGCATTTACTGAATAAAATGTTCTTTAATCATCAATGTTTAACAAATCCTATGTGTCTCACATACATGTACGTATATTTATATATACAAATATAAACAATTCTCAGTTTCTCATTCATTGTTTTTTTCTGCTTGCAGGCACTTTTGTGAAGACAATCGGGGGAGAATTTGATTTCACTCCAATCTGCACCAACGAAACATTCAACATCATCATGATGATTGTGTGTAAAATCAGAACGGAGAGGAACAATGGAGAGGAGTGCAATCTGCTGTATCAGGATGGAGGTGACTTTGTTCATGAGTGTGACTCCAGATTCTCACTAAAAACCAGGAATCAACTGTGTTTCTGCACCTGACCAGTTTAACAGCAGCTGATAGTGGGAACTACTCCTGTCAGTGTTCAAATCTTAATGGAACGCATTTTCTCCATCTTAGCATCACAGTTAATGGTGAGACATTTTTATATCGCTTAAATCAAACTTATATGGTCTGTATATTCTCTAACAATGTTTTTTATTTCCAATAGACTCATTTCCTAATAATAATCCAGCAGATGAAGTTTGGAGCCAGTCTGCAGTGACTCTTCCTTCTGCTTTTACTGCAGGTTTCTTGGTTGTCATATTTTCAGTTATTCTGGGATTTATCTGCAGAAGACGTCCACAACGGTGAGAAACTAATTCAATATTCATAATTTCTTTTACCTCAATTCAAGCTTTATAACTGAAGCTGCAGATTTCAACTTTCACTTATGATCTTTATCTGCATCTTCAATATGATTGTTTTATTTTAAATCTAAACTTTTGTTTCTTTGAACATATATTATTAAATTTCACCTCCAGATGTTATTAAACTTTCACGTAAATCTGGAGTTTATTTCATTTTTAAAGCGCCTCTCTAAGAACATCCGGATCACCTGCACAAGGAGAAACTGCCACTGTAGTGAGTAAATATCCTTATTTTATAAGTAACTATTTTCAGATTGTCACAGAAAAGATTAGAAAATACATTAAGAACATGTTTTCCTTTTATTCTGTAAAAAACTGACCCAGAACTTTACATCTAATTTTAGAGTTTACATCCATTATTCTAGTGGTGGTTTTTATAATGACACCCAGTACTACTTGTAACATTACAGTCAGTAGATGGCCAGAAGATGGCACTGTTGCGCTAAGGGAGAGAATCTGTTAATTTAGGAACTAAACTGCACTGTATGAAAACACTGATCTTCTTTGCATTTAAGCAACAATTCAAAAGTGAAGAAGGAAAAAAAAATTGATAAGAACTAAATGATTAATGTATCTATTACTCCTGTCTTTTATTAAAACAGTTCTTCAAACGTCTTTCCCAACAGAGACATTAAATTAGTTTCACTTGACTTTGGCCGTTTGCATGAAGGTTCTTATATAAGTTTTTGTCTTTTATTGTTCAGGATGAACTGTACTCAAGTCTCCAACAACAAACCAGAGACATTTATCAAACTGTCTCCTTTGGTCACCATCAGTATAAATCAGAAACAAATGTCACTGACGGGTGGAAACATTTATGAAAAAATTTTGAATTAAACATCTGTCTTGATGAATACAACAGAATTTCCTCGTTATGTGGTACTTCACAACCTTCGTTAGTTTGCATGTTGAACTTTAACACAAAAAAATCGTTTTTTTTAGCATTTAAACTTTTATTATTTCTATTGATTTTGCTTTTATGTTATGTTTCTAACATATTTGATGTTTTGTATGTTGTTTATTCTGTAAACAGCTCCCACATTTTTATTTTAAAAATGATATATTAATAAATCTACTCCACCTTTGAAAATGATGGCCACTATTTCACCTGTATAGCACAATAATTTACAATAGGATCTGATTTCCGTTTCTACATGGAAGGATATAATTTTATGTTTCTTGATGGAAGATTAAAATAAAAACAGTCACTGAATATCCATGAACATTTTTGTTTTATGGCTGCTTAAAAGTGATGCCACAATGCAAGCCTTTATATTGTTTGTTTTGTTATCTGTATAATTTGATTCTGGCTGTCGCTGAGCAAAAACCTTCATATCAAGATGTTAAGAATTTACTGTCATACAGTAAATAGTGATATTTCTGATGGCATCTGCAGCTTTGATAAACACAAGGAAAAATATATGTACTTATAAACATTTTAAAATGAAAGGAGAACAAATGTATTTAATATTAAAACTTTTTATATTAACCAGCAGTTCTAATGCATTGTATCTGATCATCTTTGAAGTGAGATCAGTTTCTCACTGCAAAGAGAGAGACTGATCTCATTCTTTACAGTGAGAGAAATGCAACAGAGTCATGCATTCATCATGTAGAGGAGGGAATTTATATTTTAAAAATTGATGCATGTTATTTTATTTACCATGCAGATTTAGGCTCATTCTACAACATGTTTTGTTCTGCAGGACTCGACTGAAATTGAGCCGTACAGCTCCTACACTCAGAAGGAAAATTCTCTTTATTCAACAGCCATTATTGCTCAGCTGTCAAATTAATTCTGACTCTACAAATGTTTAACAAATTTACCATCATAATTCTTGGGATTTTTTTTTGGCGTATTTCAGATCATTTCCTTCTGATTTATTTATGTCCAACAGGTCTTGACACAGGGTTCATTTCCCAGTGTTCATTATAAGTTCCTTTGATAAAGACATGTTCATGTGTTCATATAATAAATGGATATATATGTACATCCATTAACATGTTTCAGAGATCTCAGCAGCATGTTTAGCATAAATGAACAAAACAACAAAGCAAACACAAAGAAAAGTTATAATTTTGGTGATTTATTAAAAGAAAAAAAAAGTACATTTGTTAATATTTGTGTTGTGTAGAAATAGGTTTGAGTAAACATTTAACATTGCTTGCTTTTGTTTTTATTTACTGTAGGAAAACATAACTGAACAATGTCTCACAAATTTTGAAAGAAAAAAACAATTTTAAATTAAGAGTCAGACTTGGTTAGACTATGATCAGCCCTGATCACCTTTAAACCACCTTTAGACATCAGTTAACATCTTTTGGGTCATCTGTCACTTTTTAACCACATTGTTTAAGCAATAAACAATGTGGTTTATTTATTGTCTGCCGTTTCAAAAAGGGTTTTGCAAGTTTGTTGCATCAATCTTGACAAAAGCAGCGCATGATGAAGGTCTTAAGTTTTTTTCCTTTAAAGCTGTTGAAACATTCAGTAAATCAAATGTCAGAAAACTATTATTAATTCTCATCACACTTCCTGAGCTGGTGAGTTTTCTGTGATATGTGTAAGAAGTAATCGTCTTACACATATTATGTCCTGGATACTTTTGTTATGACATGATTTAATAATAATAATACACAGAAAAAATCCATCTATTTAAAAGGATCTATTTTTAACATAAAAAATGGAAGATACGTGTTTTGCAGTATATCAAGAGTATTTCCATTTTTTTTTTCTCTCTCCGTCTTTGGATTCTTTATTTGTTTGTGGGGTTTTTTGGTGCCTTTGACTGTTCACTGGTGGGGGGCGGGGCTTTGTCAGCCAAAGTGGTTTCAGCTGGGCTCGTGACACACCTGAGGGTGATTGAGTGATGATGACGTTGCAACGGCGTTTGTCGTGGAGCTGGGAACGAGTCAGGGTGAGGTAACCTGCAGTGTGACGTTTTTATTTCTCTTTACAGCTCATATTCACGATCCTAAACAAAGCAAACATGACATTTATATCTTAAGTTTTACTAACTAACCCCCTGCTGGGGCAGAAAACCAGACAGGAAGTGCCATGACAAAATGCTGTGTGCCCAGCTCTGTTTTGATCCAAGAGGCAACAGTACATTAAAATACATTCAGTAACGGTTGATATAAATGAGTTTTTATTTTAAGCAAACTTTTTACCTAACAGGGAAAAAGTTAGGTGAAGCTTTTGGCTAACTAAATGTTGAGATGTGCAGAGGGAATTCTAGTTTGTGTTCTGTTGTTTCAAAGTGACCCGTGATGTAGACACATTTCCCTTTCATGAAAAAAGTGTTACATCCTCTTGAACCACTTTGAGAGATGACAATTTGTGGTTTGAGTTGCCCAACAAAAGTTCAGAGGACAGTTGAGACTCTCTGTTCAGAGCAGCAGCAGCAGATGTTGCATCGACAAGCAGGTCAGATGGACGCAGTGAGAATCAACTTTTTACTGCTTCTGCTGTGTTTTGCATGATGTCTGGACTCTGAAGGTAACGTTATGTTGAATATTCTTTGAAATGGATTACATCTGTAATAGTTTTTAAAAGATTCGAATATTACAGCAATCAGTTTCTTATAAATTGTTCTTTCTTGTTTTCAGGGACTCTTGTGAAAACAATCAGGAAAGAATCTGATTTCACTCCAATCTGCACCAACAAAACATTGAACATCATCATAATGACTGTGTGTAAAATCAGAACGGAGAGGAACAATAGAGAGGAGTGCAGTCTGCTCAGTGTGACTCCAGATTCTCATTGAAACCCAGGAATCAAACTGTTTCTGCACCTGACCAGTTTAACAGCAGCTGATAGTGGGAACTACTCCTGTCAGTGTTCAAATCTTCATGGAACATATTTTCTCCATCTCTGCATCACAGTTAATGGTGAGTGGATCTATTTAAATGTTATGTCAAAGTCATATGAACCAAATATTCTCTAACAATGTTTGTTTTATTTCCAATAGAATCAAATCCTGATAATAATCCAGAAGATGAAGTTTGGAGCCAGTCTGCAGCAGTGACTCCTCTTTCTGCTTTGACTGCTGCAGTTCTCCTAATGATCAATGTTTGTCTGTTTCATGTTGGAATGAATGATTGTTTACGTGTAATGTTTGTCTACGTGTTCTGTGTTTTCATGCGCATGCGAAGAAGATAAAAACACAATCTTATTTGCAGGATTTTCCAAACATTGGAATGGGACCACCGATGAAACCTGGAATTATTTCAACAACATGTAATGACAACATGATTAATTTCTGTTTTTCTCTTACAGATCAATTAAAGACGGCAGGCCCAAGGAGAACGACCCGTGCCAGCGGGCAAACAATTACATAACCTACAGCCTGGAGATTTTGTGTTTCTTAACAATTTCAGGAAGAAGAACTGATGACCGCAGTGAAGGTTGTGGATTTTCTTAAAACCACCTGGGTTGTCAACAGCCACAGACGAGAAGTTCTCTGGGGAATCGATTCACCCAGAATCCCACCAAGGGGATTCCAACAGCGTATCTCTGAAAAAATAGGGATACCACCGACGGCCCACTCAGTAGGTGGTCTACCTAGCTGAGGCAGCATGGAGAACATGGTCGGGATGGGACATCGCCGCAGAATAACACCCACGTGGATTAAGGATGCCGTACTTTATAACCCATAACTCTCCTGATGTTGAGATTGAGAATGTTTTTTATTTCCAATAGACTCATTTCCTAATAATAATCCAGCAAATGAAGTTTGGAGCCAGTCTGCAGTGACTCTTCCTTCTGCTTTGACTGCTGCAGGTTTCTTGGTTGTCACAGTTTCTGTTATTCTGGGATTTATCTGCAGAAGACGTCCACAACGGTGAGAAACTAATTCAATATTCATAATTTCCTTAACCTAAATTCAAGCTTTATAACTGAAGCTGCAGATTTCAAAGTTCACTTACGATCTTTATCTGCATCTTCAATATGATTGTTTTATTTTAAATCTAAACTTTTGTTTCTTTGAACATATTTTCTTAAACTTACCTCAAGATGTTATTAAACTTTAACGTAAATCTGGACTTTATTTCAGTTTTAAAGCGCCTGTCTAAGAGCTGAAACATCTGGATCGTCCAAGGAGAAACTGCCACTGTAGTGAGTAAATATCCTTATTTTATAAGTAACTATAAGAGATATTTATCTTCGCACAGGCGAAGAAGATAAAAACACAACCTTATTGTCACAAAAAAGACTAGAAAATACAGGAAGAACATGTTTTCCTTTTATTGTAATAAACTGTCTTAAAACCTTACCTCTAATTTTAGATTTTACATCCATTATTCTAGTGGTGGTTTTTATAATGACATCCAGTAATACTAGTAACATTACAATCAATAGATGGCACAATACTTACTTTTCCTGAATACTTAAATAGTGAGTGTATTAACAGAAACAATAGTCAGAAAAGTCCCTGCCGTTTCCTAACCAGCTGCACATCATTTCCTGTCAACATCATATGTAACTAGAGGAAGTTTCTGATTAATTCTGTTTCAATAAACAGATTGTTTCAGCTCCAATAAAGGAGCAGTGACAGAAATCCAAAAATATCTTTATTGCATGTGCTTTACAGAATGACCACAAGATGGCAGTGTTTCCATCAGGCCCAACTGCACAATTCTGCCAACTGACCCTGCTTCATCAGGCTGACCTGAACATCCAAAGTCTCGACAGCCAGGACAGTATGGACAGCCAGGACAGTATGGACAGCCAGAAAGACTCACACTGACTTATAACTGATGTTTGTTTTATCTGCAGACATCAATGACATTG